ATATTAGGGATTGGCAATCAAAATAATGTTATATGGATAAGCAAATCATTATTTGTGGTGTGGCAACCTTGTCGAGGCATCGGACGATGGGAGTCTAGGCCTGTCAGACGGGAATTCCCCACCTCCCAAGCAAATTTGGAATGATGACGTCAACACACTGAATTCCAAGATTAAGACAATCAAAATTAAAGGAAATGTTTACCTATTTAAATTTAATCTTTCTACACTACATTTTTTTTCATCATCATTAGTATACTATTATGTTGTTACTCATATCATTATTCTTATGCGTTTAAAAAAATTTATAGTTTATAATTCACATTAATATTAGCGTTAGTACTGTTATTCTTAATATACTGATGTCATTATTATTATTATCATTATCATCTTCCTTATTGTCATCCCCATCCTCATTATATTCCCCATTATAAGGAGGATGTTGATGATGAGGAGAAGAAAGATGATGAGGATGATGGTGAGGAAGAAGATGATGGTGATTACGATTGATAATGGTTGTTGATGATAATGATTGTGATGAGAATGATAGAAAATGATTGATGAGAATGGTGATGATGATGAATGATGAGAATCATCCCTCTCATCCTCACCCTTGTCATTATCTTCATTCTCGTCGTCCTCATCTTCATCATCCTTATGATGATGGTAGTGACTGATGATGAAGAGGATAATGATGAAAATGATGATGGTAATGATGACGATGATGATGATGATAATAATGAGGATGATGGTAATGATGATTATGATTATGGTGATTAAGATAAGAATGATGATGTGGAGGATGAGGATGATGTGGTTGATGATTGATAATGATGATTAATAAGGATGATGATGATGTGGTTGATGATGAGGACAAGGATGATGATAGATGATGATTGTAATGAGGATGATGATGAGGATGATAATGACAATGATGATGATAATGAGGACTATGATGATGAATGAGTGATGATGATAAGTAGGATAAGGATGAGGTTGATGATGATGAGAATAAGGATGATGATGGATGAAGATGATTAGTAGGATAAAGGTGATGGTGATGATGTTAACAATGATTGGTGAGGATGGTGATGAGGGTGACGATGATGGATGAGGATCAATGCCATGGCCAGGATTTTCAAACGGTGTGGGACAATATCAGAGGAGTCCCACTTTACGTGTAAATTCAAACAATGGACCCATTTTAATAATGAAAAAAAATATGAAATATCTGGATCCATTTTCTTAAATTTTACCCATATTTAACTAAATAAAAGTTATCTGGATCCATTTTATGCATAAAATTACATAATTTGGACCCATTTTAAAAATGTGGACCATTTTTTGTGGACCCATTGGAAAAATAAGCATAATACTACTATTAAAATAATAATATTTATATATTTTGTACAATAGTAATAATAGTAATAATAATAATAATAATAATAATAATAATATAATCTTACAAAAATAACAATTTTCTCACCATTTCAATTAAAATTGATAAAGACAGTAAAGAGCAACTAGTTAACTAAGTTTATTGTCAATTTTCACATTTATAGCAAAACTAGAGGTGAATAATATAATGCCATAGTTTTTTTTTAAATTTACCTCGATCCGATTTCTAGTGGAT